ATTTAGATAAAAGCAAGCAAGCCATTACTAAGTACAATTAATGTTGAAATTATTAAAGCAAAAAAACATTAAAAAATTTTTTATCGCAATAAATATGTCTTAAGAATTTTATTAAATTTATAAAAAAGAAAAACAAAAAAAAAATTAAATTTATATAAAATCTTTTTCTAAAAGAGAAATAATGGAGAAATTCATTATTTGAAATTTTTTCTTGCATATTGAATTTTAATTTTTTTTTTATAAAATTTTAATTTTCGTTATCATTTAAACAACTCTCTATTAGACTCATAAGATAATTTTTGTACAAGCGAAATAATACAAAATTTTCATTCTACAATTTTATAGTGAAAAAGTTCAAAATTTCTATAAATATTCAAAGAAGCTTTTGTACATAATTTTCTTGGAACTTTATGCTTTTATTCAATTAAATAATATTAATAAATTGTTTTGTTTTAGTTAATTTTTTTTAAAGTGTATTCGGGTTTACGGTTTTATTTATTCTTCGGTATCAAAATACAAAAGTTTTTCTCTTGTGCAAATTTTTCCTTGTGGGTATTTTTCCGAGCAACTTGTTTTGTTTATGTATTATACATTCTTTAAAATAAAAAATTTTTAGTTCGAATTATTTTCTTGTCTATAATGAGATGTTTTAGTACAAAAAACGAAAAAATTTGCGAACTACACATGTATACATATTGTACATTATTTTAGAATAATCTTTTGAATTTGAAAAAAAAAACTAAATAAAATAAATTTATAAAATTATTATAGATAATATGCAAAAGAAAAGAAAAAAAAAAAACTAAAATTTGTTGTTTATATTGGCGTAAATTATAAAACAAAAAAAAATTTTTTTTTTTTTAGATACATAAATTATAATTTTTAAAATTAATTATTTGTTTTTTTTTTTTTTTTATTAATTCATACTTAGTTAATTCAAAGGAAATATAGGCACACTAATTCAATACCAAACGGCTGACTAAGGCTTTGAACCCCTTTACACATTGTTTGCACGTTATGTTTTATTATTATATATAACTATTATTATCATTGAGTATTCAAGTGAAAGAATGAACATAATATTAGATTTTAAGTCATCACTTATACATTTTATTTATGATTAATAAATTATATGTATTAGAATATCATTTGTAATACAAAATAAAATTCCGCATTAAACGAAAACAAAAAATCATATAGAGGTGAAATACAAAAAAAAATTGAATGAGAATTAATAAAAAATTTCATAAGCTCTTAATATCAGAACAGTTAATAATAATAGAAAATAAAATATATTTTAAGCAATATTTGACTGTCAACTTTTTACTGAACACATGATTATATTTATTTTTTTTTTAGTTATTAAAAAGCAGTTTTTTTATATCATAAATCGAAGATGAAAAACAGAATTCACTTTTAATATTTGCATTAAAACAAAAAAATTCTTGCTTTAGTTGAACTAAATATTACTTTTTATTTATTTTTTAATTTTCATGAAATTACATATGAAATAAAATTACATACGATATCATTTCACTCTTATATGCAAATGCATGTTGAGCTATTGAAATTTTTTTATTAATGAAAAAGTTGATGATCAAATATTTGAATTAAATAAAATGAAAAAAAAAAAATAATGAAATTATTAAGAAAAATTCATTCAGTTAAAGGGAATCAGTAATTAAAACTTTAAATATATTACAAAAATTAATCATCATATTTTTTTGCATAAGTCGTTTCCAAATTCTTTATAATTATACATACATTAAAAATTTAACTTTGAAAATTGAATACAATTTTTAATTTAGTTTTGTTTTATAGATCCAAATTTATTTATTTTTTTTTTCAAATGTGTCCATCTAAATCCATTTAAACTTTCATGGGCTTATTTAATTATAGTAATTATATTTTTTATTATATAAATTATATTTTTGTCAAGAGTGATTATATAGCTTGATTACATAAATAAGCTAATTATTGATGTTCTTAAAATGTTTTGAATATTTTAAGACTTTATTCATTATAAATTACAAAATCGTCTTTAAAATAAATTCTTTTTATATGTATGTTGTATTAAATTTAACTATGACATAAATTGTCAATAGAAATATGATATTTTATTATGTCTATATAAGTTTTTCAAATTGAATCATTAAAAATATATGTATATTATTCGCAGAATAAATTTATATAAATTAGCAACTTATTATTTTATATAAAATTAAAGATGAAAGGTATTTAAAAAAAACGTTAAAATTAATTTATAATAAAGTAATGGATACATTGAAAAAAAAATATAACTTTATTTTTTTTTTTTGGTAATCAGTCATAATATACAGAAATACATTTACTTTAATAATATTTCTTATACAAATTATGGTTTTACAAAATTTTTTAACTACTTCAAATCTAAGAATTTTTGTACAATTTTTGGAGTTTCACTTTTATTAGATAACCATGAATTACTTAATTTTTTTTACAATAAGAATTGAAAATTTTTTGAAAAATCTATTACTTCTATAAAATATTATATTTTTTGTTATCCTTTCTTTATAGATTAAAAGAACATAACAAAACATAATATCGATATAAAATTTATATTTTATTATTAAAAATATAATATTTTGCAAAGTCTTTTTCATATTATTTTTTTATATAATTCATCTAAATTAGATTTTTTTTTTTATCGTGTATTAAATTCTATTTCTTTTTTATGAGCAGCAAAACAACTTAAATCATAAATAAAATAAATAGTAAAAGATGTTTAAAAAATAAAATTACAAATTAAAAAATCATATTAATTAAAATATTGATGTTTTTTACATACATAATTACAAAATACATAAATATAATTAAAAAAAATTTATACCGTAAAATGTAGTAAAAATTTTCGTAAGTGTAGTTTCATTTCCACTCAAAGAAACGTTATAAATATATAACTAAAAATTAAATAATCGTAACACAAAACAAGAATTTTATTATGGATAAAAAAGTAAATGAGGAAAACAATAAAAAAATATAATAGAAAATTAACAGAAGTTAAAAAAAATGTTAAACAGCAAATATTATATAGAAAACTAAAAAAAAAGGTAGAAAAAATAAAATAAGGAAAAATAAATGAATTCTCTTCTCTAATTTAAATATTTAATTAAGAAAATGTATTTAAATAAAAAATTAAAGGAGGTGAAAATTCTCTTTTGATAATAGAATTAAATAAAAAGAAAATTAAACGCAAATTAACTCTTAAAATAGTTATGTAAGATTTAATAACTTAAATTTAAAATAAAACAAATAAGTATATATATATATATAATAAACATAATTAATTTTAATTATACACGAGCATAAGATTTGCATAAATAACAACTCACAAAACAAAAATTAGAAAAAAAAAAATGCTAAAAAAAAAGTAAAAGTTTTGAAAAAAAATTAAAAAAAAAATTAAATTAAAAACTTATGGAAAGGCAAAAATAAATAAGATATTAAATTTATGAATAAAAAAAAACACATTTTTTTTTACTCTTTATTTCCTTTATTTTTCCGACCAACAGAAAATTTCAACGTTTGCGACCCAATATAATAATTTATTCAATTAAATGTTATAAAATATTTTTTATTTTATTTTTAATGTACAATTCTCACTTTAACAATTTTAGAAGATATTTGTTTTTCTGTCTTCGAAAAGTTAAAAGAAATAATCTAAAAATTTTATTAATAAAAGGATAAAGTTGAAAATATAAATATTAAGCTGGATAAAAGTATATTTTAAGACGGGGGAATAAGATTCATTGAAATTGTAGAAAGAAAGACAGGATGACAACAAAACTATTAAATATATTCAAGTTAACTCAACTAATTTTGCGTACGTTTTTACGTTAAACCGGTTTTAAGTTAAAAAAGTGTAAAAAATTGCTTCACGATTTTTTTTTAAATTCTATTATAAAAATTTAGGTAAGAAAATATATTTTTGTTTTTAGTTTTTTTTTTTTCAATAAATTGTACTAAATATGATTAAGAAACTTAAATAGTTATTGTTAATTTATTATTTAAAGTTTAAATTTATAAAATAATTAAACGTGTAATGAATTTTTTCTGATCACTTTAATATCACCAACATATTTATTTTTTGCATTATTATATAAAAAGTTTTATGGCAAATAAAAAAAAAGATTTAAATTAGTTAATACTAAATTCGAGAATTAATATGTTGGCTACAAAAATGTAATAAATTTTTCTTTTATAATTAGATCTTTAAAAAAGAAAAAAAAAATATGCAAGAAAACGAAGTGAATGTTGAAGCTTAGCACAATTATTTTTCAATTTATAACTTATATATTAAACATCACATAAACTTTATACTGTTGATTTGACTAATATGGCGAAAAATGGGATAACCAACCATTACAACTATCGAGTAACGTACATATTTTCTTTCTTTAAGATAGTGTAATCAATTAGTTCTTGGTCCTTTCTAAGCTTCCTAAAATATTTCAAATTCAATCAAAAAATATTTTATTTTAATAATATTGATAATCAAAAAAAAATTTATAATGTTAAATTATAATTATGATCGTAAATGATAAATTAAAAATCGTTAATTTGTACTGAATGTAAATATGACATTGTAAAAATTTTTAATTATATTTTGTAAAATGTGAAATTTTTTTCTTTAAAATAATATTGAAAGCCATCTAAAAGCTAATGATCAAAATGTTTTATTTAGAAATTTGCTATAGAATTTGCAAAAATTTTTGAAAAAATTCCTTGTATATTTTTATACATTGAAAATAAAATTAATTTATGATATATTGAAAATAAAGGTGATATTGAAAATTATTATAAATTTAAACTTAAATGATGCTTAAGCCTAAAAGTTCTTTTTTTAAATATATTAAAAATCATGCGAATTTTAACTTTAAATAATAAAAACAGTTTTATAATTATAACTTAAAAAGTGAATAATTTTTACAATTTTCTTTTTCCTTTTTTTTAAACAATAGGCTCCGGGCGTCCACCAAGAAAAAAAAAATCAAAAGGGTCATCTCCGCCTCATTCGGTAAGATAAATTCACTATATTATTGGAAATTATTTAGTTTATGAAAATGCAATAAGATCCAAGGCGAATTAGAGCACGAATATGATTTGAATTTAAAATAATAAAAATGGGACCTCATTGTATTATCATTACTAAATTTTAATTTTATTTTTGCTGCTGGTAACGAATAAATTTGGCAAAAAAATATTATGCTATAAAATTACGTAGAGAAGAAAAATTTTAAAATTTATGTTACGGTTTTGTGATACAAAAAACTTTACTAGAAAAGTTGCGTCTTACCAACAACGTTTTAATATCAAAGTACAATTAGAAATTTTTAGATTTAGACATTTTTTTTTTGTGAATTATGCGAGGAAGAGGGCGGGAGGCGATATGTTGTTTGGAAACACTGTTTATATTACGGCGTTTTCAAATAACTTTTACATTAAAAAAAGAAACTCGCTACAAATTATTAAAAATAACTTCAACATTCAAACTTTCATTTCCTTCATTAAAATTTTTGTAATATTCGAAACTGTATGCAAATTCGTAAAGTAGTACTAACTATTAGTGATAGTTTTTAAAAATAAGTGTATTTGATTTTTTCGTTTTTGTATCATTCATTTTTCTCTGTGTGATTAGGTAAATAATTCAACAACAGCAACCACAGCCATAAGTTCAGCTGGAAATAGTTCACAAGCGCAAGCACAGCAACAAAACTCTTTGACTACATCAACGTCCTTAGCATCAACAACAACTACAACAGCTGTAACAACATCAACAATTGCACCACTACAAAATAACTGTAATATTTTTTAATATTTCCCTTACAAAATAAATAACTAATTTTTTTTTTATTCGTTTTAATAACTATTTTTTTTTATTCGTTTTTAATTAATATTATTACTTATTGAAACATTTGCTCATATTTCTGTTATACAATTATCGTTAATATTTTTAACAGCTTCTGCAATAACCACTTCAACGGCCGTTACAACTTCAACAACATTAAGTAATATCAATAGTAGTTTACCAACAGTATCAACAATGACTGCTACAACGACAGCAACGACAATATCTAATAATAACTCATCAATAAATACATTATCATCAACACAACAGCAATTGCAACAAAATAATTCCAAAATAATAAATAACAGCAATAATATAAATATAACACCGGCGATTACGCCACAAACACAATTATCACTGCATCAACAACAAATACAATCACAAACACAGGAAAATACATCAAACTCACGCTCATTAGTTTCAAATTCAAACACAATTACAAATAATTCCACAAATACGCAAATAATTAACAACAACAGTTCTGTGTTGAGTGGAAGTAGTAATATTAATAATAATAATAATAACAATAATAATAATAATAATAGTAATATTCCAAATGATTTAACAATTTCATCAACATTATCAACAACAACATCATCCACATCTTCATCATTTTCATCATCATCCACACCACAAACAACACCACAACCCATAAGTTCCAATAATAATTTAGGCGGTGGCGGTGGGATGTCTGGTATAATGTCGGGAAATAATAGCAATAATAACAGTAGTAATACCGGTAACAGTAATAAAATAAAATTGACTGTGGGTAATAATTTAATAAATAACAATAGTAATAATAATAACAACAATAGTAGTAACAATAATAATAATAGTAATAATAATAATAGTAATAATAGTAATAATAATAATAGTAATAATAATAATAACAATAATAACAACAATAGTAATATTAGTAACATTAATAGTAATAATATGAATAATAGTAGTAATGTTAATATTAATAATAGTAATAATAACAATATCAGTAACAATAGTAATACCAATAATAGCAATAATAATATGAACGTTGTTGGTACTGATTTAACAACATCGTCAATGACGACTTCCACGTCATCATCCTCTTCGAATGTTGGAATAGGTGGTCCACCACCTTTAATTCCACCGTCATTACAAATAAATCCAAATTTATTAAGTGGTGGTAGTGGTAAGCAACCAATACAGATACCACAATTCGAAGATCCTGTCGAACAATCTCTTGCTTCGCTTGAACAACCGAATATGGTATCAGCAGCAACATTACAGGTAGCTGCCTTAAGCGGACTTGGTAGCGGTTTATTACCAACTAATTTAAGTCACCATTTACAGCAAAATCAACATCATATGGATATAATGGAATCAACTGGATTGGGTGGCAGCATGAACGGTAATCATATACCTTTTGTGCATCCATTTGGTTTAGATGGTTTTAATTCACATTTAACTTCTATGGCAGCTGTAGCAGCTGTGCAAAGTCTTCATAATAATAATAGCGGAGCTGGAAGTGTCGCGGGAATAGGTGGTGGTGGTGTTGGTGGCGGTCCCGGATCGAGTTCTTCTAATTTCTCTGGATTAGATTTGTCGAATGGAATTTTAGATAATTTTGTGCAACAACATCAACAACAACAAAATGGGAATGGTTTATTAGGTATACATGGACACGTTATGAATACTCCTATATTTGATATCCCCAATATGAGTGGAGTTAACAGTGGCAGTTTAATTGGACGTGGTGCGAATGATAATATTATGAATTCCATAAATCATCAAATATTAGCTGTTGCTGCTCAGCAACAGCAACATCAAAATCAGCATCCACACCAACAACAACAGCACTCAAATATGATGATGACTAGCAATAATAATAGCAATATTATGAAAGACCCTAAGGAAAAATGCATAATCACCCCTAAACCAATTGAGTCAATGATGCCCAGTCCGCCTGAAAAGAAAACTTCTCCTAATGACATGAAAATGTCAATGCACGGTGGTAACATGATGTCCGGTAGTGGTATTCCAAGCGGAATGGATAGTCGTGCAGCTGCTCATTTTGCATTTAAAAGTAACCAGGAGCAAAATTTAAAGAATGCCAGCTCTTGGTCTTCATTAGCTTCGGCCAATTCTCCTCAAAATACGCCAACATCTAGTAAACCAAAACCAGCAATGGATTCATTTCAACAATTTCGAAATAAAGCAAAAGAAAAAGCTGACAAACAAAGATTATTAGAACAACAAGAATTGAAACGCAGCCAAAAGGAAGCATTTGAAAAAGAAATGAAGCGTCAGCAAGAACAGAAGCATAAGCATCACGAAGAAAGTACTGGAAGGTATGATAGTATTTATATATTTTAATTTTATTTTGATTTTTATTTAATTTAATTAATAAAATATTTATTTTGATTGTTAATATTTTGTTAAATTTTAGAAAATCTATTCATGAGCCTCATACACCCAATCGAGTTGTAGAAGACATTAAAGCATCACCTCAAAATTGTAGTTCACCTGGCGCACAAATAACGCCACAAGATCGAGCTGCTGCTAAACGTGCTGAGCAAAGGCGTTTAGAGCAAGAAAGACGAAGGCGTGAAGCGGTGAGTATAAAATGTTCAAATCTATGAGAGAGCAAAAATTTAAAATGACAACATAAATTTTACAATATAAAAATTTTGAACTCTTTATTGATTTTAGATGGCTGGACAAATAGATATGAATATGCAAAGTGATTTAATGGCAGCATTTGAAGAATCGCTATAAATTTTTCGCATTAATCATCTTAGTTCAAAACACATTATTGAAATTTTGAATATTATAAGATTATGTTAATTTTATTATCGCCAGAAATTATGCAATTTACAATCATTATTCTTAAACAATAAGTCAAAAAAAAAAATTATAAAAAAGGACGAAAAAATAATTTTTCATACAAGTTTAACGCGAAAAGAAAACTGAATGTAGATTTAAACCACCGAAAAATAAAAAGTTTTCTAGTTGGGAATACAAAAAAAAAAATAAATAAGTTTGCAGTTGTATTATGTATTTGTTATCTGTAATGACAAATAAAAATTCCAAAAAAGATATAGGAAAATTTAGAAATCAAAAGTACTTTTGAAGGCGGTAAAAAATTTCCATTTTCTATTCGTATAAATTAAAAACTTTAGAATCCACATGTAAAAAATAAGTAAAACATATACAGACACAAAAAATAAAAAAAAATATATAATGAAAATTCCTAGAAAATGAAAATTATAAAGAAAAAAAATAATTAACAAAATTGTTCAAAGATACAATTTAAAACATTTATATATATATATATATATATATATATATATATGTATGAATATATAACATAATATATAGATATATATATAGATATATATATATATATATATATATATATATAATATAAAAACATGAAATGAATGTATATACTAATTAAAACTTAATAGTATATCGAGTCCAATATTTTACAAAATAGTTTAATTTTTAGTTTTATTCTTATTTTATATTTTATCTCTTAACATTAGAACATTTTTTTTCCTAATTTAAAATGAAGGTTTTTTAGTTGTTAAGCAATGTTATTACAAGAATATAATCAAATAACCTATTTTGACAGCCCAATAAAGATAAATAAGTTCGTACGAAGACGAGATTTTGCTTTGTTTTTTTTTTTTAATATGTAATTATACTATAATTTTGTTAAAAACTTAATTAACTTTTTTTTATTTATTTATTTATTATAAATAACAGTATATACAAGCAATTCGTTAAATTCCAATTCTTAACAAAGAAAAAAAAAGATAAAAAAAAATCTATATGAAAATAACCTAGATATATATAAATTTTATACCATTTTTTTAATAGAAAATTTATGAATTAAATAAATAAAAAAAAATAATTATTCTTTTAAAACATTTTATATTCTAATTTTTGTTGTATTCGTTTTATGTTATATAATTAAAATTCAAAAATGCTCTTAAATTTACAAAAAACTTTTTTTACCAAATTACAAGAAAAAAGAATTTATTCATGTATAAAGGATTAAATATATAATTGAAAATTGTGCCAGTATAAAATCGCATAATGTATTATAAAATAAATTTTTTCAAATTTTTATACAAAATATAGGTATATATATTAAAAATAGAATATACTTAACTTCGTACGAATTGTTTTACAAAAAACTTAAATAGATATAATTGTAATACTTTTGTTATTTTTGTATATTATAATTCTGATTACGTTAAAACAAAAAAAATAATAAAAAAAAATGAAAGAAAAAAAATGTTGGTAAAAAGTAAATTTTTTTTCGGGCCCATTTATGTATTTATTAAATATTTTTTAAATAAACAATTTTATTACAAAAATCAAAAAATTAATAAGAAATTTTTATATTTATTTCTTGCTATTACGTATCGTTCCTAGAAAATCCTCAAATAACAATTTTGTTATAAAGATTTCGGTTTTTGTTAAAACATCAATTGATTGCAAAATACACAATACAATTAATTTAAATTCAATATTTTTTCTATGTTCTCCAATATTACAATCTCGCAAGTTATTATAAAGTAAACCTTACTGAACGTTAAAAGATATATTTGTCCAAAAATAAATTTTTGTATTTTGACTATTATTTGACAATCTACATATGCATATTGCTAAATAAATATTTACGAATCCATCAAAATGTTATTCAAAATGAAATCTTTATGTTTACAAGTATCAATATAATTATGTGAAGTTCTAAAATAAAAAATAATAATAATACATAAATGAAGATGAACCGTGTAGATTCCTTAAATAAAATAATTTTTACGTTACAGTAATAAACGAAAATTTATTTTTTTTTTTTTATTATTTTTATAACGTAGTTTTCAAAACTTATTTACTTAAACAAAAAAAAAGCGTAAATTCAAGACAAAATTAAAGTTATTCCATTTTGATTTTATCTTGAATTTAAAAAACATAATAATAATTATAAATTAATAGAAAAAACCTATTTTAATCAAATTAATAAAAAGATACATAACATTTTTTGTGATACAAAAATTTTAAAAAAGAAAAATAAAAAAAAATAAAAATTTTTTTGATAATATATTAAAACTATTATAAAAAATTAAAATTAAAAGAATTAAAATATTGATAAACAAAAAAAACATAAGAATAAACAGAAAAAATTGATGTCGTTTATTGTTACGTTTCTTATTATTTCTTCACGTATGCATTATACATGTATATCATTATGTACATAAGCGCATACTGTTCATATGGTGTGCAAAAAATACATGTATAGATTGTGTGAACAATTTTATAATCAAATGTATAAATTTAGATTGTAGTTTTATTGCATTAGGTTTTGTTCTTCTATACATTAACATAATTATTATCAACAAAATATATATTATAATTATATGTTCGTATATACATATGTATTTATAAATATATTTTATACATATTTACATATATATATGTATATTCACGTAGTATGTACGTTAATTATTTTTCTTTAAATTTTAGTTTTTAAAATAACACTCCTATGTCATAAATGTACATTATTATTAACTATTGAATATTATATTTACAAAATTCAATTTAATTAAATAATCTAATTATTAATTAAAAAAAGGTATGTTTGATTTTTTTTAGTTAGTGCACTAAGAAAAAAATAATAGAAATAAATGTAGACAGCAAATAAAAAAAAAGAAAATAGGAAAAAAATCATTGTGAAAAAAAGGTAACAAAAAGAATTATCATGAAAAAATTTAAATTTGTATTCATTAGCAAATAAAATACATAGTATAATATATGTGTATACTATACATATAAAAATTATATTGAAAAAATAAATAAAACAAAATTTAAATAAAATGATATATTTTTTAAAAAACAAGTGTGGGGTAACTTATTATTATTATTTTAGAAAACAAAATAACTTTTCCAATTGTAAATATTCCTTGACATTTTTTAATCGTAAATTCAATACAAATTTTGATATTAATTTTGAAAGTATAATTTCAATATTTTGCTTGTAGTTTTGATTCTAAATTGTAGAAGGGCAGCAACAATTTTGTATTAAAATTTTTAATATTAAGTTGATAGTAATTTTATAAAAATTAAGAGCATAAATTCTATGTAAATAACTTTTCAGAAACAGATAAAATAAGTTTAAAAATTTAGTCTTCGATAACGGATTAACTGCTGCGATAGTATATGTATATATAATAATAATATATCAATATATATATGTTATATACATATTTATATATAAAATTTATAATCAATTAAAAGATTATAATCAATCGATAATAATACATATAATAATAAATATTTATTATGTTTTTTCTCTTAATTTTATTTTCTATTTCTAAAAATTCTAAATTTATGAGACTTAACAGCTTAAAAATTAAAATTTTTGCAAGATGACTTTATTAAAAGCCCTTAAAAATACGGTTGGAAAAGTTAGTTGTTAAAAAATTATATACAAATTTTTCCTTCAAAAAATTTTTTAGGCTTCTCTATATGAATATATATATAAACTTTTAAAGATTTCAGTGTTGGTACAATAGTTTATTTGCAAAATTCTAAACCTAACTTGATATGATCATAGGAAAAAGATAAAGATTTAAATAAATTGCTAAAAATTTCTTACAATTTAAATTCGGTTGCAATGTTGAATAACAACCAAATCATGCTTACACGAAATGAAACTAATTTAAACTTTAGCTTTTTTGAGAAACTTCAGAAATTCGAATTCGGAAATAATTGATATTTAAATAATTTTTAATTAATAAGTTATCGCAAAAGAAAAATATAAAATAAAAAATTTTACTCTTTTTTTATAAATTTATCAGCAATTTGTGTGCAATTTATATTTGCGTGCACAGGCAAAAACGTACCGAAAAATTTTAGAAAACTGCAAAAATAAATCTATTTTAAACCCCAAATAAATACAATTTCTGTTAATGCTAGATAAAATATTAATAAAAAAAATAATGTCAAACAGATTATTTTAACGTGTGCTTCAAACTAAGTTTTAACTGATTCATATAAAACAGTTGGTTCAAACCAATGAAACAAATTATCCGTTCAGTTTTCATACAGATATAAAAACAAAAAAAATTATATTCAATAAATTTTTTTGTTTTTTTTTTTTGTTTTTAAGTGTTATTTTAAAAATTAATGATATTTCAACTATTATTTTTATGATTGATATCTTGGAAATTTTTTACAGAATAATTTATTTCTGTTTTGAAAATAGTACCAGCTATCAAAATAAACACATAATTTAATTAAATTATTTTAGTGATATAATGGCAATTTTACAATATGTATATATATATATATGAAATTAATGAAAAGAAGAAATATACATTTATAAAAATTAATTCAATGAAGTAGTTAAAATATAAAAAAAATAAATGTATAATAACCTAATTATAAATTGTTCGTCCAGTTTAAATCCTTTCTTAAAAAATACAAACTAATATTCTTCGAATTTTATACTATTATTTCAGCAATTTGTTTTGTTTTCTTGATTTTTTAAATAAATATAAAAAAATTGTAGATTTTTCTAATAAAAATTATATGCACATATAATGTATTTATATTTACATATACACATATTACACATATATAAGTATATGTAATATTTATATAATATATATAAATATGTATTAATATTTATAAATTAAGTATTGATTATTTTTTATTAAAAAATTTGAAAAAAAAAAAGAATTTTTAGTGTTAACTTCGAAATTATTGAGGAGAAAATAAAAAGGAAAAAAAGTGCATAGGGAAAAATTATACATAAAACCTAAAATTACAAAAAAAAAAAGTAACAGAAAAAAATGATGTATATGAATGTAAGATTAATTTAAAAATTTAATAAGATTTTTAGGAATATAAAAAATACAAAAAAAAAAAAAGAAAAAGAAATGATTAAGAAAATATATAAAAATAAAATTCAAACAGAATTCTGTTTTTTTTACCGAATGCTTGATTGCTATTTGTGGCCGTATACAAAACTCTGATTACAGCCTCAATTTACAGACAAATGTAACACATTATTTTGTGGAAGTTTTTAAAATAATGAACACTTTTACCTTAAAAAATTAACTCTTCCTATGTTATAAAAATAAATTTAAGCTTTTCTTTCTAATAATAGATATGGGGTTTACATAATTTTCAATTATGTTATATTTTTTTATATGATATCACTTTCATTTAATATTGCAGTATTTCTTGCCTTCTTGCTTTAAGCTAGTCGACGAGTATAAATGGGGTATGAGAACTATTGAACATTTATTAAAACGTGATGTATTAAATATGTATATTTATTGAAGTTATATACACTTAGAACAGTTCAAGCTCAAAAATATCAGAACTCAAATATTAATTCGGTAAAAAAAATCTGCATTTTAATTTTCTCATCGAAAGCTAAGGAATTGAGTTAGTATCACATATTCATTCTGTATTTTCCATGTGAGACGAATGTTTTCCGTTTTCCATCACGTTTTTTTTTTCAAAAATTCTTTAGTTTTGGAAATTCGATTGAGTTTAACCAATATTTGCTTTACCTTGTCATGCTCAAAATACTTCTTAAATTTATGTTATATTTATTCCAAAAAAAAAATGGGTTCATGGTTGTATAAGTTCTCACAAATACTGGAAAACTATTGCGTCATATATAGTAAATTATAAAGCCTACGTTATTCATCAAATTATGACAAATTTTTTTTTTCAATAAAAAGCATTTATTTTTTATCATTTTTCTTTAATAAAAGATGCTCATATATACATAACAGTATTTAAAATTTTTTTGCACCTCTGTTGAAACCCCTATTATTTCCTCTTCCGCTACAACTTGCCACTCTACCTCTACCTAGTTTTTTGAATATTTTACCACTTACATAACCAGAAGTTGACGGATTTGCATTTGGAATGGACGAAGTCATTGGCTCCTTATCTTTATCAGGTAAATGTGAAACATGTAGGCTATCCCAAAGCAGCTTTCCGTCCGTCTCTGAATTACACAACTCAGATAGCTCTTCGACAGTTTTTTTTAACAATTCTTTTAAGCTTCCACCGTTTCTCATGATTTTATGAATATTTTTTGAATTCACACCAGGTAAACGTGTCATAAAATCATAAATATTTGAGTTAAAAATATCAACCTCAAATTGTGACGAGTCATCATTACCAAGAGCGACAGCCGCCATGCTATCCGGTTCCTCTTTACCATGCTTTAACTCTTCAAAAAGTTGTGCTGTAGCATATGGACTTGGAGACCATATTAAACGTAATTTAGGAAAATGTAAAGTTAATAGTTGCAATCTTTGAACAACATCAGCGTTAGATGAAACAGTTGAAACTCCTGATAACATGAATTTATTCTACAGCGAATATGTTGTTGATAATAAAATTATTTGAAAATAACTTGCAGCTCTTTTTTCTTTTAAGTAAAGTATTAATAAATTTATATGTACCTGCAAGTGGAATGGTTTGTTTTGATCAAATTCTATTAATAGAATAGGTTTTGCATAAAATCTTTGCATTTGAATACATTGATTATATAGGCGACCAGAATTTAATGACCCAATTAAATCCGATATAGATTTCCTTTCAACACAAATCTCTGGGGTTAAGATGTAATCTCCAATCTACAATTTATTTAGTCATTAAGAAAATGAAAACCAAATTTAATTTTTAACGATAAAATATTACAGTAATTGTTAACGGAATAACTTGCAATCCACGGCGATGTATTAGGCAAGGTAAGTCAGATCGAAATTCTCGCATATCAACTATAATTTTCGGATGTACAAGCTCTTCTTTTTTTTCTTGCGATTCCTGCCCGCCAGCTTTACGACTACTTTGTTTCATTCCCCAAACGTCAAGCTCATCATGATCAATTGGCTTAAGGATTTCAAAAGCTTCATCTGTCTTACCATCTTGATATTCTGGAATCAACATTGTCTACGCAAACAGTTAGCATAACAAGCGCAATAAAACATCTTTTTTTTTTAAAAAAAAAGGTTACCTTTTTGGTATCAATTAATAATTCAAAAGCTTGTTTTTCTCTTCTTAAACTTGTTAAATATGATTGCTCTTCTATTGTTTTTGAATGGAACAAGAAAAAAATTCGCATTCTCTCTTTTGGTTTTCTTCTTAGCGTCGCTTCGTGCACTTCTAATTGCCTGACTGCTGTAACATTGCAATGATACATCACAACATACTGCGGCTGAAATTCATTTAATGTTCGATCTAATCCTTTTGCACCGTCTTTTTGGGTTTTAAAAGTCTGAATACAAATCATTGGTTGCATTTTTTTTGAAGATGCTGAAATTGCGGTTGTAAGGTCAAGGTTTTCCATCTACAAATTTTCATAAATTATTTATCTTAAATTGTTAAATAAATTAGTTTAACCTCTGGAAATGGTTCAAAAACCGACTGCTCATGCTTGATATCGTCATCTGTGTCAGAAATAGACTCTTTTTCCACATCTATATTCTGAGTCATTGTTAAAATATAGCTTTCCTGAAAAAGATCAGATTCAGGTTGAGCATCACCCTTATTCAAAATATGATCAAGATCATCTTCTTCAAATTTTTCTACATTTTCTTCTTGTTTTTTATCTAGGTTAATATCAGATTGTTGAGCACATTTTCCTTTGCTTTTTTGTTTGAAGGTGCTATCGACTTCTCTTTTGATTTTGTTATGTGAAAATTCTTTGTACACATCAGACAATTTTATAATAGGAACATCTGCCCGTATTGCCGTCGTAAATAGGCAACGCTCAGGACCTTCCATTAGAAACTGATTAAGTTGATAGCACGTCTTAGCGTCTTGACATAAAATTAACACTTTTACCGGTTCAGAATTTGATTTGTTATTGGTCTTGATATCGTTTGGTATTTCAACTCTTAATATTTCTGATAGTGCTTTCCACTTGGGACAATGCTCTGGCTCAAATTCTATCAAATTAAATTAACATAAATTTATATAATAAAGAAAATTTTAAATTTAATTAAATTAAATATAGTTCATATTTACCGCCTTGTGAATTATATACTCGATTTTTGGAAATACTAAATAAATTTTCGGCTGCATCAAGCAAAGTCCAACCAGAATTATTCATCGCATATTCTGTTGTTCTGTATTTTCTTGTAAGGTTGAAAGAACTTACAGCATCGCCATATATAGTAGATCTAAAATATTATTACATTTGAATTGATAAATAGAGGAGAGAGTTGACAACAAATAACAGATTTACATAATTAGGTTTCTTAAAACTTTTAGATCGGAAATAATTAATTTTGTCTGAGAATTTAAACGATGCCATATAGGATCTAATTGAGCTTGTAAAATTTTATGAAATTTTTTGGTAACACAATTTTCAGCAGTAACTTCCTCTAAATCGACATATCTGTTAATTCTCTTTACTTCTTTTATTAAATAATTCATAATATCCAAGATGTGTGCCTGGATTTTAGTCATATTTATAGTCATTGGAACGTGAAATTCTATAGCTTGAGATTCATAAGGTTTTATTGAATGTTGAATAGTAGCATGAAATCTTGGCCAAAGAAATAATTCCTTAACAAATAAATTCCTCATTGTGCGTTCTACATGGCTCCATCCGATTGTAAAAGATTCTGGACTTTGTGAAAATGCTTTTATAAATCCTGTTTTATTTTTTTGCCGATATAAACGGAGAGCAAAGGCTTCTTGACATGATTCTACTATTGTATGTGCTCGTAGAACCACAATTCCAGTTATTAAATCAATTGGTACTCTATTTTTTAGTAAATCAACAACCAAAATCCTAGTAGAAACAAATTGTATTCCACCCTCCAAATATGTAATTTCCCTAAAATACATTATATGAACTGATAAACATATTTTACCACTATTGTATAAATTATATTTCTAAATGTTTTATAAATATTGTATAAACTATTAATTAGCTAAGATTTGTTTAAACATAATTGAAAAACCCAAAGGATATACTTACCTTTCATTTACGGAATTAGATACTTCACGAATATATTTTTTTTCTAACTGTGATTTATAATATTCTTCTTCCCAATCTGAGCTATTAATGACTAATATTAAGTTGGCAAAATCACTGTAAGCTCTTAATATATGAATTAATGGACGATCATAAGAAATCCCTCTTAAAAAAAAACAAATTTTCTCATATTTATTTTAAAAATCAGGTAATTATGTACATGTGTACCTTGCACAGATCATTAATGCGTCTGATTGAATCATATCTAAAAAAATTTGTTTTTCATAAGGTAAAAGAATTACATTTTTCTTTTCTAAATATTCTTCAGCCGAAGTAATATCCGTCATGCAAGCGTCTTCATTTGTTTCATTTATTAAATTTTTAACATTTTCATTGTTGTTCAATTTCTGTTCTTCGATGAAGCAATTGTCTTCTTCCGTTTTTTTATTCTGAACATTTATTGATTCCATTTTATTTGTAATTGATTTAATTTGTTTAAATAATATATTTCACAAAAAAGTTAAATTTAAAACGGTATGTTTTGTGCTGCCTTGCACATATTGGCGTACAATATATTTGGCGTTTTGTTGTTAAACTTGATGTAAAGTACCTTGAAGTAAAGCAGCTAGTCAGCTTTGTTTGTAAACAAAGCTAACGTCAACATAATGAAATGATAGTTTAAAATCTTATTAATTCTATTCGCTTCAGAAAAATTATGTACTCAAATATTCGCTAAAAGGGGCTTGGTTATATACACATGTTGTACACATACACATACTTGCAACAGAATTGTTTTTTATATTATTAAATTTTTTTGATAGATAATAGAAAGTAAAAGTCTCTAATAAAAAATTTAATTTGAATCGTATTACTTAACTTCGGCTGGTTGGATATGATCAAATTAATAAACGGTAGATACAAAGCGAGATGGAATGTGAATTCAAAATATAATCGGCCTATATTTGGGACTTAAATACGAAGCATGACAAAACCAAAAGTAAAAAGGCGGAAAAGCTTTATGTGGGAACCTGAATTAAATTAATTATTTTAAATTTATAATTTTTTATACATTATACTCAAAAACAAAAACTAGTTTTTATTGTATTTCATACTAGTAAATGCAAAATATAATTAAATAAGAAATATAAATTGTTAAGTGACACATCGAATCTTTTTTTTTTTTTTTTTTTTTTTTTATTATATTTCATATTGCAACTAAGAAAGTAATTCCTATCTAGCAATTTCTTTCTGTCTTGAAGTGGGGGTTATGGGCGCATCATCCACCGATGAGTTCCCCGTAACAAAATTTATTTTGATCTAGTCGACGAGTTCAAGTGGTCTGGTCCGTTTTAGGCGTCTTTGCACTTGACCAACATCTAATAGTTGCAGCATCTCGGGATTGTCATGCTGAAGTAATCTTGACTGATGGTGTATGGCGTGATTTTTAATCTCTTCTTTGACTGTACGCACATTCAGATCTCGATGTAGAGTATCGTTACTTACGTACCATGGCGCATTAGTAATGATTCTGAGGACCTTATTTTGGAAAGTCTGTATAATTTTAATATTGCTGTCTTTGGCGCAGCCCCAGAGCTGTATACCATAAGTCCATATAGGCTTAAGAACCTGGTTGTAGAGCAAGAGTTTATTATGTATGTTAAGCTCAGAATGTCTTCCCAGGAGCCAATACATATTTCTAAGTCTGATATTTAGTTCTGTTTTTTTCTTTTTGACATGTTCCTTCCATTTAAGCTTTGCATCGAGTGTCATACCAAGGTACTTTGCTTCGTTGGCATATGGAACTACTACACCATTAAGTTGGACCCCAACCGGATCGTCCCTCCTGTTGGTATAATTTACATGAACCGATTTGGATTCATTCAGCTGAAATCTCCATTTTTTAGTCCAAGAAGACACTTCGTCTAACGAAACTTGCAGCTTACTTGTGGCCTCAACAACAGTTTTACCTGTTGCCAGAATCGCTGTATCATCTGCGAATGTTGCAAGAAATGTTTCATCATTTTGCGGGATATCTCTAGTGTAAAGAAGGTAGAGAAGAGGTCCAAGAACACTTCCCTGAGGCACACCAGCCTCTAACTTTTTGAAGCTTGAGTATTCCTCCTCAAATTTAACCCTGAACAGCCTGTTCGAAAGGTATGATTTTAATATCTTAGGAAACGGCTCCGGCAGATTTTCTTTTATTTTGAAGTTGAGACCCCCGTGCCAAACTCTGTCGAACGCCTGGGCCACATCTAAAAAGACGGTTGAGCAATACTCTTTTTTTTCTAAGGCGTTTTCAATGACGTTCGTCAGCCTGTGGACCTGATCAATAGTGGAGTGCCTAGTCCGAAATCCAAACTGGTGATCAGGAATCAAACCTCTGCTCTCGATAACTGGTTTTAGACGATTTAATAACACTCTTTCAAAAAGTTTTGAAATCACTGGTAGAAGGGAAATTGGTCTATATGACTTCATTTCATTGGCCGGTTTGCCAGGTTTAGGTACCATGATGATTTCTGCGACCTTCCACTGGTCTGGCACATGCTTTATTCGTAAAGATGCATTGAACAAGTAAAGCAATTTCTTTACAGCGATTTCAGGTAGTTTTTTTAATACTTCAGCTGTTATCAAATCGTATCCTGGAGCCTTATTATTTTTTAGGTTCTTGATTTCAGCTGTTAATTCGCCCATTTTAATTTTCGGGATTTGAACAGGAGCAATTTGATTTACTGGAGTTAGATTTTCCTCTGATGTTTGTCTGGGTAGTGGCACAAAGGTTTTTTCAAGGAATTCCGCAAAACAATTTGCCTTCTCTGCATCATTTATTATCCAAGAACCATCGTCTTTTCTAATTGGGGGCACTTGATACTTAGGCCTCTTAACATTTTTAACGGCCCTCCACAAAGAGTAGTCGTGTTCCTTGTCAGCAGATAAATTACTCAAGTAGTTGGCTATAGCTGCATTTTTTATCTCTTTTAGCAATTTTTTAAGTTTGTTTCCAAGTTGGTTAACACGGGCTTTGTCCTGTGGAAACCTTGTACCTTGCCATATTTTACGTGCTTTTCTTTTTTCAGCTACGAGATTCCTTACTTCCAATGGATACAATACATTTTTTCCTTTTATTTTGATTTCTGAGGAGCTATCCCAAGCAGCGTTTTGCACATTTGTGATGAATGTGTCGAGTTCATCCTCAAGTTGGTGTTTATTTCTGAGGGGTACGTTTAGCAAAGTGTTATTTTCAAGTATACTCTTAAATAAATCCCAGTTGGTTGTTCTGTTAGTTAATTTGGGTATATCTGGCTTGAGTATCACTGTTTCGGAGACTGTCAAAATAACTGGAGAATGGTCTGAGTTTAAATCGTAACTTTCACTTACATGTATGTAATTTTCGGAGACTCCTCTACTTATGAAAAAGTCCAAAAGGTCTGGAATTCTATTTCTGTCAGTCGGCCAGTATGTAGGCCTCCCCGTAGAATGAAAAATACAACCCATTCCAGCTGCTGCTTCATATAAGGCTTTACCTTTAGGAGTGGTGAGTCTAGATCCCCAGAATGTGTTTTTAGCATTGAAATCGCCGCCGACCAGAAAATCTTCACCCATACAATCCAGCATTGATTTGTAATCCTCCATTTTCAAATTGTACCTTGGAGGACAGTAGATGGAGGAAATCATTAGATTTTTATTTTTAATATTAATTTTGACCGAAGCCACTTGCATTGTTTGTTTTTCGATATTTACTTGTCTTTGATGCTTAATATTGCTTTTAACAAAGATTGTCGAGCCACCTTTAGCTCTATTATCTGGATGAACAGCGTTATAGCACATATAACCACTTATTTCTAAGTGAGTTTCTTTGGTAAAGTGGGTTTCTGTAACCAAACAAGCGTCAATTTTTTCTCTGTTGAGAAAGAGCTCAAGCTCTTGGGTATGTTGCAGAAGACCATCGGCATTCCAAGTCATAATTCTTAGGGTTTGCGTCATCTTTTAATTAATCTCGAGTTTATTTTATTTTCTAATCTGTCTAATCTATCATTAAAATATTTTTCAGCTACTTTTTGGTCGTCAAGTCTTTTTAGTATCAATTCTAAAATTTCTTCTGTTGTAGATCTTGAAACCATTTGGGCATAGGTCTTTTTGGTCGAGTTGGTTTTGGCAGTTGCTTTTTTCTCAATTATTTGAGGTATCACAGGTACATTCATATTCTTTGGCTTAGCTTGGGATATTGGAGGAGCCCCCGAAGAAGCTTTAGATTTTTGTCTTGCATTTAGGGCCAAGTTTCTTCTACGCTGGAGTTCCTTAGCAACTTCACATCCCCTATAGTTGGCAGGATGCGCCCCATTACAGTTGGAACATTTTGGTGGAGTATTGCGGCTCTTGTTGCATGCAGAGGTAAGATGATTTGCACCACATTTTACGCATCTGGGAGATTTTTTGCAGTAGGATTTGGTGTGATTGAATTCCTGGCATCTTGTACACTGTGGTATAACTTTTGTATTTTTCCTTACTGGTTCAATTTTGACTCTTAGGTTAAGGATCGATTTGATGTTATATATTTTTTGAGTGTCCTGATTTTTATCGAATGTTAGCATGAACAAAGACAGCTTTTTATTGTGGACGACTACTTCTCCCCTTTCATTTTCTGACCTGTCCTTTTTCATTATGTTGGTTGCATCTTTGACTTCGAAACCTTGGTGTAGAAGATCATTGATGATATCATTTTTTTCGCACGACCAATGTAATCCCCTGGCCATAACTTTGATCGGTCTGTCATTTTTATCTTCATATGAAAACCATTGAATCTTATCTTCTTCTAGCTTTTTAACTAAAGTGCGATAACTTGAAGGGCTTTCGGTGTTAACCTTGAATACATTGTTACCCAATGTAGTTATTTTGTAATTTGTGATGACAGCGTTTAGTAATTTGCACAGCTTGGGGTAATCAGTAATCCCCACAATATTAACGGGAGGTGGTCTGTGCACGTAAGTTTCCTTAATCTCGGCCGGTAGGTCTATGTTATTGTCAGTGTTCCGGGTATTCAATTGTAAGCTGGACATGGTTGGTTCATTATTTGCAGCTGGTTGCTGGACAGTATTCACTTCAGGTGACGACTTTGTTTTTCTCTTTTTACAAGGTCTTTTCTCTCTATGACTGGTCACAGGTTCCATTTCCGTGTCATATCCGGTAAGATCAGACAGCTCACTTGAGCCCACTGCTGCTCTTGAAACGACTGAAGGTTGTCCGCCCCTCGCTTCTTTGATTTGAGTTTTTAAGGCCTCGTTTTCAGACTTAATTTCGTTTATTTCTTTTCTCACGGTTAGAAGAATTTCTTCCATTGATATTATTTTTTGACGAAGCTTTTCATTTTCCTCTTCAAGAAGAGTGCTGGACCTTTCTGAAATGTCTTGGTACAGATTTGAAAGTGAAGAGCTTGTTGCGTTGGCCTTCTTTTCCACATTGTTGGCCAAGTCCGCACGCCTGCACCTTGTTGAGGGTGTATCATGCGATAATTTTTTAGGTGGAGTCCTTGGTGTTAATTTGCTCCTGCTGGAAATATTTGAAGAAAGCAATGTTTGGCCCCCCCCAGAATCCATGGGACCGACCTCCGAAGAGGGTGGATTTTCCAGATCAACTGGTCTGCCACCTGGGGTAATAAATCCTTTTGTTTTCGACATTGCATATTGTTTTTCTTTTTTTCTAAAGATGTAGAATTTGGATGCACATTTATAAAGCGAGCCGCTTGCTGCAAGACAGACGCCCGCCCGGAGCCGCCAATTATTGGAACAGACGCTCCAAATTAAGCTTTGATATTATCTCCACTTAACCGCCAATCTCGTCTGCTAGCCGACCCGAACTACACCATCTGGGTTGGAACCAGATCTTTCATTGGGGTTGCTCAGCGTAACAGGAGGGACCACTTGTAGGTGAGATGTGGCGTTGAGTAGTTTAAGCTAGGCTGCGGTAACAGGAAACCCGACAGCTATATTGCGCAATACTACCCCATTCCCCCCCCGACACATCGAATCAAACAAATTTTTGGCCTTCGATTTTAGTTTTATGTTCGAAAGGTTGATGGCGTGTGTGTAGTATAAAATATTTTTTTTATGTCAATTATATGATTTTTTTATATGAGATTACATATTACAAGTTTTAGAATTTGTATGGTTCTCCTTGCCGTATAGAATTTTCGTATTTTCAATTCAAAAGTATTAAATTAAATTAGCACCAAAATATTAAATAAAAATAAATCTTGCAGGGCTATCATTTTCATTAGAGAAATGCTTTACTTTTTTTCTTCTTGTTACTCTTTAATTTAGATAACTTCAATAATCGAAAGCATTTATATAGTCTCCGTGGTGTAAACAGGCCTAATTTTCTATATAAGGTTTTTTTTATTCATATTGTGAAACTGTTAAAGTTTTGGTGTTACCACTCATTTGGGAATCAACTGTATAGAAAATAGATGTCATGTTATAATGTCATTTAAACTATTCAAAAACTTAATTTTACAGTTTTACACGTGATAGAGTTTGTTTATACCGCTCAGAAAATTTTAATCTCTTAATTTACATAGAATCATAGATATTTGTAAGTATGGAGGAAATTTCTGCATTTGCTGCATATAACTTAAATAAATCTAAGTCAAAAAATAAGTCTAAAAAGAAATCTAATTCATCAAAATTTGAAAATGGCTTGAATAATAGCAATAAAGATAAAAGCAACAAAAAAGCTAAAGAAGCAGAAAAACAAGCGATGATCAATCAAATCTTAGAGCAGCATTTCAAAAAAAAACATGGAAAATCTAATAAAAGAAAGAAAAACTTAAGCCTGGAAAAAGAGGAAGATCAAGAACGAAAAAAGACGAAGTTTACTACTTCGACTCCTCGCGATACCCTTGTAAGGAAAAAGAAAACTATTCCAAAAAGGAGTGTCGAACTTAAAAAATCTAGTGAAAAAGTTTGTGTTTCCGAACCATCTTCAACTTCGATGTCCGATAAAGATAACGAAGAGGTATTTCAACTTTCATCAAATAAGCTCAAAAATTGTGGCGTTAGTTTCAATAATGAGAGTGAAACTATTGTAAGAAATGAAAGAAATAATTGTACTAAGTTTGGAATTCAAAATGAGAAAATTACATCAGAAACTCCAAAGAACAACAGCATCAAGGATGGCGAAACTGTGCTGAAATGGTTGTTAAATGGCATTGATGTAACAACATTTTTCGCTAAATATTGGGAAAAGACACCTTGCTTAATTAAACGCAAAAATGAGACCAAATATTATTCAAAATTGTTGTCTTTTGAAATGATAGATAGAATGCTTATAGAAAATCATGTTGAATTCACGAAAAATATTGACGTTACAAAATATGAGAACGGTATTTATATAACACATACTTGTTGAGACTAAAGTATTAAGTTCTTCAATTTTAAACACGAATTTTTAGGTATTAGGGAAACTTTGAATCCCGAAGGTAGAGCGTTGCCTGGAGCTGTATGGGAAAAATATGCTGACGGCTGTAGTATTAGATTACTTAATCCTCAAACTTTTCTTTCATCTATTTTCAGCATTAATTCAACTTTGCAAGGTAAGTAAAATTGAATTAATGAATTGATTTAATAAATTGGTTTAATTATACTTAATGCCCAAGAATTAGAAATTATAAAAACCCCGAGATTCTTTTGCTTATATATATGTATATTTAGAATATTTTCACTGCATGGTTGGAGCAAACGTTTATTTAACACCACCGAATAGTCAAGGATTTGCGCCTCATTATGATGATATTGAAGCTTTTGTTATCCAAATAGAAGGAAAAAAAGAATGGAAACTATATAACCCAAGGTATAGTTAATTTTTAGAGTTGAATTTCTTGAAAGATCCGAAGTATATTAGTAAAAATACTAACATTTTCTTTTTCATACTAGAAGTAAGGATGAAGAGCTTCCAAGATTCTCATCTCACAATTTTAATCAAGATGAGATTGGAAAACCAATTTTGGAAGAAACTTTGGAAGCAGGAAATGTTTTATATTTCCCTAGAGGTACAATACATCAAGCTAATACAGTACCTGGTTTTCACTCTTTGCACATTACTTTAAGTGTATATCAGAAGCAGTCATATGCAGATCTTTTTGAAAAGTTATTTCCTATGATTTTAGAAGAGGCAATTAAAAAAGATATTGAAATTAGACGAGGATTGCCATTGCATATTTGGAATAATATGGGAACAGTTTACGCTGACACTCAGTCAAACGAACGAGAAGAAGTTTTAAGACATGTTCGTGATTGCATGAAGCGAGCAATTGCAGAAATTCCTATTGACAATGCTGTTGATCAATTAGCTAAAAAGTTTCAGCATGAAGCTTTACCACCAGAAATTAAGGCTTCTGAAAAGTGTAGAACTATTTTCGGTGATAAAAATTATTTAAATGAAAATGGTGAAGTAATGAGTAACATAGAAATAACTTTGCAAAATAGAATAAGGATATTAAGAGCACATATATTAAGATTAGTTGAAGAACAGGATGCTTTAAGAATTTATTTTTATACAAACAACTCGAAACAATACAAGGAATTTGAACCAAATTTTATTGAAATTGAACCAGAATGTGCTGATGCTATAGAAATTTTAATAAAATGTTATCCAGGCTACGTTTATATTTCAGATTTACCACTGAAAGATGACGAAGTAAAATTATCATTTTGTCAAGCATTATTTGACAATGGCTTAATAATGTTACATGATATTCCTCAAGAATAGTAACTTGTTTGCGTTAATAATGTTTTAGAGTTTAAGAGTAAGAAAATTCTTTTTACATAAAAAATTACGAGTACATGTTGAAATGTATTTGAATTGATTTTTATCAAAATTGGGAAATACATACATTTTATTGTACAGAAATATGAAACTGTATTTGTAAGTAGTAAACACTTGTGTTAAGAAAGTTTTACATAAAATTTTTTAAGAAATTATATTTCTTCATAAGATCATTACGTTTTAGTTATAAAATAAATAATAAAGTTGTGTAAAAGCCAAGTGAGGAAGTAAGTTTTTGTTTATAAAATGTATCATTTATATTGCTTTTTCAGATTTCAATCGGATTTTAGCTTAATAATTGTCAAAATTATGCTTTCATTTTAGTATAAGATGCTAAAAATATATTTGAAAAGTACATTTAAAACCGCAAGTTCAATTATTTATGATAATTTATGTCATCGGATATACATACACACATATGCTAGACTGATACACTTTTGTCAAATATATGAAGAAACGAATTTATTTAACATTTATATATGCATTTATATGTAACTAGTTTTAGCAAAATCCTAATGACTTTATAGTGTTAGTTATACTACAAATGGCATATATATTTTGAAGCATTATATCATGTATGAATAAACTCATAAATTAATTGGTCGCGTCGTTCTTTAAATTCTTAATTGTACCACTATAATAATTATCATTTGATATTTCTTGTTTATTTTTAAATCGCAGGTTTTTTATGACCTAAGCTAATTAAGATTTGAATAATTTGAACAATTCCCAGTATTTTTTAGTAGCTATATGTATTGTAGCATTTAAGTGGAAATATTAATTTTTTTAATAGTTACATTAACAGAGTTATGTTACAGAATCGAACAAATTTTTCAATCAAAAGAAATAAATAAATTTATGACATATCATTTCAAAGGAGCATCTCGGTCGCATTTGTTAAAACGGAAATGAAAAGCAATGAAAAATGCTTTTCGTACATAAAAATAATAGTGTATATTATTTTATATATTTTATACGTTTATAAAATGTATGTATGTACAATGAATTAGATGTTTTTTTTAAAACATTTTTAGCTACGTAGTGAAAAAAAATAACAAGCACAGTTAGATTTTACATTTATTGTTTGAAATATGTAATTAATCTAGAAGTAAAGTTTTTAACCATGACATTAATTATGGTTGAATTATTATCTTACTAATAATTGATTTTCTGAACTTGTTCTTTTAAAGTCTCAATGCTTTCTAATTAGTTTAAATTAATCAATGATTAATTAATAATTGATAAAAAATACATAGTTCGACAAAGGTATTGAAAATATTAATTAATATTTTCAATACATAATTTTGAAAGCATATTAATAGTTACATCCGTACTCATGCATGAGGAAAACGGAACTCATGCATAAGGAAAATGATATACATGAGTATTAAGTATTAAAGCTACGAACCTATTTCCTGAAAAAAATGTAATACTTTTGAATGGTCAAAAAGGCAATTATTTTATTTAAATATTTTTTTTATTCAGTATTTTAGTATAAAATGAAGAGGAAAATCTCTAATTTTCAAAACATTATGGTATATCTGAAAAAAAAGAAAAAACATCTGAAAGAATTAATATCAAAAAGGGATTTGAAATAAAATTAGACAGTGCCATCTAAAGAGATCAAACGTCCTTTTTAATACACGATTTTTAAATTTGATTTACATAATTACAAATTACTCATGTAAATTGTTGTATTAAACTTATTTGTATTCCTGAATCCGTATCACTGTATTATGGAAATAAAGAATAGTATTTAATAACAATAAAATTAATATCATACTATCTATAATGTAGAAACAATTTTTACATTATTAAAATAAAAATTACAATATAGAAGCATAAATTTTAAAAATTAGTCTTTAATTATAATTTTTAACTGGAATTAATATTTATCTACTCTTAAATTAAATGATATTTTAAATTAAAATTCTTAGTTAATTTCATTTCAAATAATAATGTATTATAAATATATACATATATATGTGCACGTATATATAAATGAAAATTATTATTATTAAATATCATTACAATAATAATACACTATTGAATAGTTATGTACATGAAATATTTTCAAAATAATTTCTTTGTATAATATAATTAAAATTTATTTTAAACTCAATAATAATTTAATTAGAAAATATTGTATTACAAAAATATACATGCATAATTAAATTACTTTTGAAATATTTATTAACTTCAATTATTATATAAACAATAGTTACATTAATTTTATGAATTAGTTGTAAAATAATTTACTAAGACTAAACATCTGAAAAAATCATTTGTAAAAATGGAAAATAGTAATAATAACTCAAAAAGAAAATTAAAAATTTATAAATCAAAAGATTTTTATTCATTTGCAATGATATATTTGAAAATTGTAGGAATATCGTCATTTTTAAAATTTGATGAAAATGAAAGGGAATATAAGCATAAAAATTTAAATAAAATTTATTTTTCATTTGTCATTATCAATTTAACAATACTTTTTTCAACAATGATAGCACGTTTTATTCAAGATTCATATAATAATGAATTTGATAATATTATGGATTTCATTGAACAATCAAATTATCTTTCATTTGGTCTAACATGTTATGTATTTTTATATCAATTATTAAAAAAAAGAAATCATTTAAAACAAATCCAAATGACATTACATGAATATTTTCCGAAAACATTTAAAGAACAAAATTATTATAAAATTTCTGAAGATATTAAACAATATAAAATAATTATAATATTATTTTTAATACTTTGTCAAGTTTCTTTGTTTTTATTTGATGGAATAAATGTTATATCAAATTTTTTTGATACGAATAATCAAAGATATCTTGAATATAAGGCATAATTTCCTTTTAACATAAAAACTGTACCATATTATGTTTATTGTATTGTAAGTGTGCATCAAAGTTTATTCTCTGTTTTTGATACAATTATATTATTAAGTGGTGAAATTTTGGCATATAGTTTATTATTTCACTATTGTGCACATTTTAAAATGTTAATAAAACAAATTAATGATATGAAAATAAATAACGAAAATTATAAAGAAAATGAAAAACAATTAATTAATATTATAAAATATCATAATAAATTATTAAGGTAAATTAAATAAATTTATAAATTCAAAATTCTTTAAAGAAATACATATAGATATATATACAATTTTGATTGAGTTGCTATGCATCAAATTCAAGTTTTCTTTCTTATTATAACATTTTGTTGCATTTTACCATAAATGATTTTTGTTTCACTTTACCTACATGTAATACTTTTCAATAAATGATTGCATCAGAGAAACTTATATAATAAAATATATTATATATTTTTTTTAAGTAATTTTTCGCCACGTTTTAAAACCAATATGAAATTCCAAAAAAAATTTAAATAACATGAGTAGCTGAAAATGTATTTTGATAAATTATTTTAATTTAATCAACATCATTAAATTTTAATTTAAAATTTAATAATATTTATTATGTTTAAAATAAATTTAATATTTTATTTAATTTAACATTTAATTATTATTAAATTTTACATTTATATTTTGATTTTTAATTTTATTTACAGATTACAAGGAAATTTTAATTCGGTTTATTCAACTATAATATTTTTAAAATATTTTATGAATATTTTAAATTTTTGTTTAATTGGAACTTTAGTAATATTAGATGATAATTATTATTTTTTATTACGTAATTCATTGTTTTTATCTTGTGCATTATGTGAACTATTTTTATTTTCATTTTTGGGTGATAAACTTAATGATTTGGTAATTAAATTATATAGATTTTTACTATTCTATTAAGAAATAATTTATATCCGTACTAAAATTTTTATAGAGCACTGAAGTTGGTTATGCAGCTTATAATCAAAATTGGGTATATACAAATGTTAAATATAGAAAAATGTTATTACTAATAATATTACGGTCACAAAAACCAGTTGTTGTCAGTACTACATTCGTAAAAAAAATTGATTACGAAGCATTTTATGAGGTAAAAATTTTATTTTTTTAAATTCGTATCTTTTCATTTGTCAATTTATTATACAATTAATTTTCAAAAATCTGATTTTAAATTTTCCGATTTACTATATGGATAATATTAAAAATATATCGGATTTTGAAAAAAAATTCCCACATAAATTACATTTGTCTATAACATGTAATTAAAAATAATGTTTTAAAAATTATTATATTGAATTTTATTTGTAGGCATTGGCAGCATCTTATAAATTTTTTGCTCTTATAAACACATTATTAAAGTAAATGCAACACATATACATATTTTGGAATATATGAGAATTTCGCATTAACAATTCCATTTATTTCTGATTTCATTGTCCTATGTGATGTCATTAAATTTTATGTGGATTCAAGACCAAATGTAAATTTACAATAAATTTTTTTTGCAAAACTAACGCCCACAAAAGTTGCAGCTTTAATTCTTGACAAAATATTGGCTATTTCCAATTTTAAAATATGTGTATATATAAATAATATATTTATTTATGCACAACTCATTTAACTATATAAAATAGTGTTAATTAAATATAAAAATTACCGAACAATTTTCAGCAATTAAATTCAAAATAAGTGTAAAATCATCAATGAAAAGAAATTGAAAATAATAAATTATTTCAACTTAAAAAATTTTTTTTTTATTGTTTCTTTAATTTCGAAGATAAAATGAATGAATAATAATTAGATAAAAAAGATAATTCATGATAATTCGAAAAATAAATTGAAAATCAATTATAAAAGTTATGCAACTTAATTCAAACTGATTATGGGATTTTATATAATTTATTGAATTTAATAATAGTTTACGAATTGGATATATGATTTAGAGGCAAGGTTCACAAAGATAATTGATTATAAAATTTAATTTATGTTTTATCTTACTTCACCATTGGGAGGATTATAGGGCCGGTACATGATATCCTCTAACAATGCTCTAGTTTCTTGCGTCACGTGTGCTAGAGAAAACTTCTATAAAATATCCATAGCCTCAGAACTTAAGTGAGCGAGATTGATTAAACTTATAGGTATGACATGCAATTCAAAATACTCTCGATTCAAAAAAAAAATTGAGTTTGAAATTAAATTTTTAAATTTTTCAAAAATTTCTATTTTTCAAAATATGATAAATTTGAATCTGTGAAAAAATTTAGAATTTCTAACAAATTAATAAATAACAATATTCTATTTA